TATATACACACATATTCCAACATGCACCCTCCACACACACACACAGGAATCCCACCCCATTCAGCTCTTTATCCGTTTGCCTCTCTCTAGAAGCCCTGGTGGCGTAGTGGACTATGAGCTGGGTGCTAACCTTTTGAAAGGTCAGCAGTTTGAATCTACCAGCTGTTCTGAGAGAGAAAGAGGAGGCTTTCTGTTCCCGTAAAGGTTTATAGCCTCGGAAACCCCATACAGGGTTGCTATGAGTAGGAACTGACTGGGTGGCACGTAACCACCAACCACCACCGGTCCTCAAAGGCTTGAGGAAAAATAAAAATTTGCCTAAGCAATTCAAAGGGGCTTTTAAATTGCTGGAGCAACCGGCTTCTCCTTTGGGATTTACAGCAGCTTTGGGGTTAAGAGCCATTCACTTCAGGAAATCAAGGAGCTAACTTCCCACTCCAGTATTTGTGCATCAGATTCAGACCTTCCCAGCCTGGGGCACTTGGCTGCTGCACACTGTTCTCTCCATACTTCAGGTCCGTGGAAATCAGAAGGAATCCCTGAGGGGAAGGCAACAATGAAAACAATGTCAGAGCCTTTGGATGCCTGGGTTTGCCAGAGGGCTCTGCTACATGCTACACTTCCTTCTTCTCCCTGACTTGAGGCAGTCTGCCCTTTGGAATGAGAGTGATTTAAGGGCCATAATTAATTAAGGAATAAAAATGAAGAAATTGAGACATATTAATCGAGGAATTGAAATAAATAAATGAGACATGGGGAAACCTGTGCATGAAGAATTCATTGTCTTTGCAAAGCACCAATGAAATACTTTCTTTTTCTTTTTCTTTCTTTCTTTCTTCCTCTCTTTGGATGGCAGAGCCACAAAGAGTTGTTTTATTATTTTTATGCACAGACCCCTAGTGGAATTTTTCTCTTGGTGAAATCATTCTCTGAGTTATTCATGATTTTATTAGTATCCCTTTCACTTTAGATTTTTGACTCTCCTACACTTTAGTATATTTTCATTAAAAGTTAGAAGCCACATATTAGCTACATTTTATTCTACTTGTAATCATAGGTAGTTTTAATACTTATATTAACAATATTCTTAAGACTGCTAGGAGACAGGATTTGTCAATTGAATTACTGCCAGCTTAGGTTTAGTGATTGTAAACATTCTTCCTTGTAGCCTTAGTTTAAGGCAATAAAGAATCCTAAAAGTGAATAGCCATAAATAAGAGCTGTTGGTACAAGAATTTCTAAAAACAATTAGATAAAGGGTATGGTATATACAGATACTAAATAAAAAGTCTGACTTAGACTTTCTTAAATTAATGATCAGTAAATTAGAGAAGTTGTTTTTCATAACCTCAGTTTCCCTGATAAGTGTTTTTGTAGGCTATAAACAGATAGAGTATGGAAGAAGTTAATGGAGAGTTAATTGCACCTAACAACTAAAATTAACAAGATTTAACAGACAAAGGTTAAGAAATTGTGAAGGTTAACTTGTTTCCCATAGAAAAGAATAGATTTATGTATGAACAAATGTTTAACTAAAAGGTTTCAAGGAACCTGAATGTCTCCTATGCCTTGAGATAATGTTTTTGCTGTAACTTCTCATCCCTGTTGTAAATTTAAGAATTGTAAACCATAAGGAATGTGCCTCAAGATAGATTGTACCTTGATGTCATTGATTACTATGAATGCAATGTTTTCTGTAATGGTATATAAGGGGGTTGTAAGACAGAACAAAGTAGTAGTGGTAGTAGTGACAAGAATAGGGGGAGAAGAAGGAATATGAGATGGAGAGGAGACGAGACAAGAATGGAGGGAGGATAGAGGAAGTAATGGAGAGAATGGGAGCAGAAGAGGAGAGCAGGAGGGGAGCAGGAGAGGAGAGAAGGGAAGCAGGAGCCAGGGGAGAGGAGAAAGAACACAGAAGATATGAGCAGGAGAGCAGGGGAATAAAGAATGAGCGGGACAGTAAAGAATGAGAGAAGTAGAGTATTAGAGTAGCCATAGAAATAATAATAATAAAGCATGTAATGAGAAGATTTTGAATTTATCATGATCCATGACTCCGTAATCCGCCGACGCCGCATACGCTTTTGGAAAAACCCTGGAATAAGTCTGCTGGGGCTGGCTCCCGGCATCCACTGACAAAGGAATTAAACCCAGGTCTTCAGAACAGAGTCCTTTTGTGGCGCTGTGGATTAATGCACCGGGCTGCAAAGTCGTTTGAACTGCAAAGTCAGCAGTTCAAGCTCACCAGCTGCTCCTCAGAAACCCTATACAGAGTTGCTATGAGTTGGAACTGACTCAACGGCACTTAACAACAACTTCTGCACAGAAAGTGAGAATGCTTGCTACCAAGAAACCACCACGGTTCTATACTCATACATAAAATGGGACTAATAATCAATCACAGCCTTGCAGGCTTTCTTGTGGAGTAAATGAAATAAAGTCTTGTTGTAAAGTGCCATTGAGTTATTTCCAACTCACAGTGACACTGTATAGGATTTCCTAGGAGTGGCCAGTGGGTTACTGTATCAGTAGAGTAAATACACCGCTAAGTGACATTGGACTTGGTCTGAATGTTAAACTCCAGTTTAAAAGCTATCCAGTGTTAATTGCAAGTTTTAAGAGATAAATATTTATTTATGAAATTCCTTGGCCTGAGGGGGAAAAAACAACAAATCAAATAAAACAAAAATAAACCAAACAGGAAGGGATATATCTTACTATGAAAGGTAATGAGTGTACATTAAATATTTGTATTTTGCTCATTTGTGAAATATAAGAGGTGGAAGGGAAGACACAAGGAGGAAGGAAGATAAATTGTTGTTGCAGGGAGGGGATTGTAATCATTGAGATGAAACAAAGCATATGATTTGTTGAATGTAAAGCTGATGCTCTTGTCTGTTAACCTTTACTCAATTCACAACATAAAGTTGAAGAAGAGAGAAAGGAAATGGGTTAAGTAAGAGGAAATTTATATTCTTACCTCAAGAACTTCGATATCAGAATTGATCAATGAAATTTTGTAGGGGTTGGGCAGAGGAAATCCCTGCTGTAATTTTGCTAAAATATAGAACACAGATGTAAAATAATCACGTCTGGGCACAGAAGTTTTGGCAAATATTTAGTAAGCGATGACTAAGCAGCTTTTTACTAACTTATCATTTCATTCTTCCTTGTTCTGGGATTTCCTTCTCCAAGTGATATGTCCCTAGCATTTTTCTGCAAGAACTATTAATTAATACATGATGAAAGATTAGGCTTTCTGCCCCCGTAAAGGTTTACAGCCTCTGAAACCCTGTACAGGGTCGCTATGAGTCAGAACCAACTCTACGGCACATCACCACCACCAATAAAAATACATTTGCAATTATGTGCATTTGGGCAGGCAAAAATGTTGGCAATCTGCCAATTTAATTGTGAAGTTACCTTCATAAAGAGGTACTGAGAACATATCAATCTCTAATTAAAAAAATGTTTTAAAGTCAGCCATAGTCAACAACAGCTGTGCAGGATAAATCCAGGATGGTCAGTTATTTAAACTTTGTCTATCTGGTGGATAGTACCTCTGCATAAGAATCACAAAAACTGCCCCTAGGGTGAATAATCTCATTTCCCAGTTAACCTGAAAGAAGTTCTTTACTGACTAAGGAGAAAGGTTCCAATCTCCTTCACTTAACCAGAGTCAGCCCTTCTGGCTGAATTCTGCAGTGTTGCTAACAGGGTTTGGACTTGGAATAATTAACTTGCCATTCATATCATTGATGGTACAAATGTCATTTCTGGTTCTTGCTTGGACTCACAACAACACTCTAGAAATACAAAGCCCCAAACAGTCTCCTATGTTTAGCCAATATCCACGAGGCACATCATTTTCCAAGAAAGCCTTACCGTTGGCCAATGGGAGCACTCCAAAGTGAAGAATAGAAGAGAGAATATTCTCAAACCTCAAGACCTAAGATGAAAAGGGGAAACTTAGTCAGTTACCAAATCAGGGCTCTGTGAGACTCTTAGGCCTGGTTTTGATAGGCACTTGTCCAGACCTATCAGGATAGATGACAATAACTAGAACCTCCCCATGTGGGGATACACTAGCTTTGCAGATCCCAATGACACTTTGTGGGAAACCATATAGTAAGTTTCTCAGCCTCTTTCCACCTTGAGGAGGGATGCTTCCACTCACTCACCCCACCCCACCCCCGTGCTGGACCATCGTGATGGCAAATACAGAGGGACACCATGGTGGCAACAAACAGACAGATACAAAATAAAGCAATCAAGAGCAAATAATTTAAAACGAGTATTCTGGGTAAGGTTGATGGAAGGATTATTTAATATGATGATCAAATAAACAACTTCAGTTAATGTTGAATACTGATGTCAAGATCTCACTATTGTACTTTTAATATATATATATATTGTTGTTGTTGTTAAGTGCCATCGAGTCGGGTCCGACCCATAGCGACCCTGTACAGGGTTTCTGAGGGTGTAAATCTTTACGGGAGTAGAAAGCCTCATCTTTCTCCCGCGGAGTAGCTGATAGTTTCGAACCGCTGACCGTAAGGTTCACAGCCCGATTCGTAACCACTACGCTACCAGAGCTCCAGATATCTATCTATCTATCTATCTATCTATCTATCTATCTATCTATCTATCTATATATATAGTAGCATCGTGGTTACAAATTGGACTGCTAACCTCAAGGTCGGCTACCAGCTATTCCGCGGGAGGAAGATGAGGCTTTCTGCTCCCATAAGGATTTCCAGCCTCGGAAACCCTGTACAGGGTCGCTATGAGTTAGAAGCGACTCCACGGCACATAACTACCACCACCATACATATACATATATATAGTCCTGGTGTAGCATGGTAGCATAAGCACTAGAGTTCTAACCACAAGGTAAGTGGTTCAAACCCACCAGCCTTCCTCAGAAACCCTATACAGGGTCGCTATGACTCAGAACCAACTCGACAGCACTTAGCGACAACAACATACACGTCTGACTTGCAGAACTGAAGAAAAGTAGGTATTAACAGTTTTTCCACTTCATCTTTTGTATGTCTGGTTATCTTTGATTGTATCTTTGATTGTACTCTCATGGCAATGTAGAATAAGAACTGAACTGCTAACTACAAGGTCAGCAGTTCAAATCCACCTGCTACTTCGTGGAAGAAAAATAAGACTGTCTTTTTTCAAGATTTACAACCTTGGAAACCTTACACAAGATCGTGATGAGTTGGAATTGACTCAATAGCAGTAGAGCTTTTTGAGTTTGTACCTAGTCTTTGTATTTAAAAATCACTGTTGGCTTTAATTTGAAGTCTAGAATCAAGGTCTCCTTCTAAAAAGAACTTGTTTCTACAGGAGCCTGGGGCACTAGTAATCTAGAATACCTAGATTTAGTTGTTTTGCTTTGTATATATATATATATATATTGTTGTTGTTGTTAAGTACCGTGGAGTCTGTTCCAACTCATAGTGACCCTGCACAGGGTTTCCGAGGCTGTAAATCTTTACTGGAGCAGAAAGCCTCATCTTTCTCCCGCAGAATTGCTGGTAGTTTCAAACTGCTGACTTTAAGGTTGGCAGCCTGACTTGTAACCACTACGCTACCAGAGCTCCTTGTATGTATGTGTGTATATATTTCTCTATATATGATGGATTCCTGATGTGGCACTGTAGGATCAGCACTGGACTTTGAACCATAAGGTCGGTAGTTCAAACCCAGCAACTGCTCCTCAGATACTCTACACAGGGTCACTGTGAGTCAGAACTGACTCGATGGCACTTAGAAACAAGATATTATGTTGTTGTTGTTGCTATTGTTAAGTGCCATCAAGTCAGTTCCGATTCACAGTGACTCTGTATAGGGTTTCTGAGGCTGTGATCTTTGCAGGAGCAGAAAGCCTTATCTTTCACTCGCTGAGGGATTGGTAGGCTTACATTGCTGACCTTATGGTTTACAGTCCAGTGCTTAGCCAATGGAGATAAGTGCTACTGTGCTCTCTCTCTCTCTCTCTTTATATATATATATACATATGGTAGTGGTGATTATGTGCTATGGATTTGGTTTTGACTCATAGTGACCCTGTATAGGGTTTCTAAAGAAATAGAAAGCCTCATCTTTCTCTCAGGGAGCAGATGGTAGTTTCGAACTGCTGACCTTGAGGTTATCAGTCCGACTGGTACCCACTGTGCCAACAGAGTGCTCTCTTTCTCTCTTTCTCTGTCTCTCTCTCTCTCTCTATATATATATATGAAACAAAACGTACAAAACTAGATCTAGGTGATCCTAGGTTACGAGTTTCCAGGCTTCTGGAGAAGCAAATGCTCTCTAGGAGGAGACCTTGATTCTACACCTCAAATTTTTGTCACCAGTGATTTTTAAATACAAACACTCGATACAAACCCAAAACACCCCTCTGCTGTTGAGTGGCTTCTGACTGATAGAGATCTTGTATAAGATTTCCAAGGTTGTAAATCTTGAAAAAAGACTCCTATTTTTCTCCCATGAAGTGACAAGTAGATTCGAACCAGCAGTCTACTTCTTATTCTACACTGCCACCAGGGTACAATTGAAAGATAACCAGACATACAAAAAACGAAGGGGAAGAACCCCAATACCTTCTTATCTTCAGTTCTGGACGTCAGAAGTTCTCCCCTCCCTTCCACCCCTCCACACCGCCCCCCTCCTCCTGCCTTCTCGGGTCAAAGAGTAACTGATTGATTCCCAGTCATCAATTGTTGTTGTTGTTAAGTACTGTGGAGCCGGTTCGACTCATAGTGACCCTGAACAGGGTTTCTGAGGCTATAAATCTTTATGGGAGCAGAAAGCCTCATCTTTCTCCTGCGGAACAGCTGGTAGTTTTGAACTGCCGACCTTGAGGTTACCAGCCCGACTACGCTACCAGAGCTCCTTCCAGTCATCAATTGTTGTTGTTGTTAAGTGCCGTCGAGTCGGTTCTGACCCATAGCGACCCTGTACAGGGTTTCCGAGGGTGTAAATCTTTACGGGAGTAGAAAGCCTCATCTTTCTCTCGCGGAGCGGCTGGTAGTTTCGAACCTCTGACCTTAAGGTTCGCAGCCCGATTCGTAACCACTACGCTACCAGTCATCAGTAGTCTTCTCTTTATTGTTTGTGAACTTCTGCCGCAGGAGTCCTTTTGCATTGTATTATGCTGTCGAATGAAGGCTATCACAAGAACATCCAATCTATCTGTAATAAATGGTTTTGTTGTTATTGTTAAGTGCCATGGAGTCGGTTCCAATCCATAGCAACCCTTTATAGGGTTTCCAAGGAGCAGCTGGTGCGCTTGAATCACTGAGCTTGCGGTTCAAAATGAATTTGTAGTCCAGCGCATTAACCCACAGCACCACACCAGGACTCCTGTAAACTTTTATGGGAGCAGAAAGCCTCTTCTTTCTCCCATGGAGTGACTGGTGGTTTTGAAACTGCTGACCTTGTGGTCTTAACTCATAACTATGGTAGCAGAGCTCTTTAATTCCATATATGTTGTTGTTGTTAAGTGCTGTAGAGTTGGTTCCAACGTATAGCCACCTTGTATAGGGCTTCTGAGGGGCGGCTGGTGAGCCTGAACCACCAATCTTATGGATCAAACCAGCATTGCAGGCCAGCACATTAACCCGCACCTCAGCTGACTCTCTCAAAAATCTCAACGTTATAATCCTTTGCTGAGCACAGGCCTCGTCTCTTGCCATATAACACATATACGCTGGTCTGCAAGGTCTCTTGCCCTATAACATATAGGCACTGAACTGCAAGGTTAGCAGTTCAAGCTCACAGCTGCTCCTCAGAAACCCTATACAGGGTTGCTATGAGTGGAGACCAACTCTAAGGCACTTAACAACAACAACAACATACCATACATAGGAGTCCTGGTGTGGTGTTGTAGGGTACGTGTAGGACCACAAGGTCAGCACCTTAAAGTCACCAGTCACTCCTTGGTCAGAACCAACTCTAAAGCACTTAACAAGAACAAGTAGCATTTTCAGCACCTACAACACACATTTGTTTGTTTATTGTATGACACACACTCAAACATTCTAGAACAGGGTTCCCCAACCACAGCAGTATTGCCATGCTGGATCTGATCTTTTATCGTAGTGTGGACGTTGTCCTGTGCACTGTAGGGCGTTTAGCAGCATCCCTGGCTTCTATCCTCTAGTACCATACCCTGCCTCCCAAGTTGTGACTTCAAATATGCCTCCACTATTATGAAACATCCTCCGGGCTGAACAAAATCTGCCCTCATTGAGAACCTCTGCTGTAGAAAGAATCTACAAGGAAAGGCGTGATCTGCTTTATTCATTTTCTAGAACAACACCTGGCTCAGTAAGATTAACATAAACACTGTTCTACCCTGGAATTTTGATACCAAAATTCTCTCACTTAACTTGTATATGGTAGTGCTATCCTTGAATGAATGAAGCAGACCTGTAACTGGACCTAAAGGCCATTTAGCATTTTGGCTGATCTCCCTGAAGCCTGGAGGGTGGGGATTTCCAAGTTTCAGGAAGTACTAGGTGGGAAACCCCCTGTACCAAGTGATATGGCATCCGCACCACCAGCCTTGATCCAGTTTTAGGCAATGGGTGGAAAGCCTTCAAAGCCAAACCTAATCACAGACTAATGATTTACATCTAGGTTCTTCCTTTGGGCCCTTAAATTTAACCCTGGTGGTGTTATCTATCGTTAAGTGCTTTCAAGTCAGTTCTGACTCATAGCAACCCTGCATATGGTTTTTAAAAAATCTTTGTGGGAGCAGAAAGCCTCATCTAAGGGATGATTTTGTCTAGAAAATGAAATCTCTCTGAGAATCTTGCTCTTCTGGCATTACATTAACAGTTTTTTGACTTCTTTCTTAAATCTTCCTGCAAACCTAGAAGAAATATATATGCGAACTGTATCTTTAGCGAGATTACTGGAGAAAAGGTGCTAATGAATCTGTGGTTAGGAAACTTGTTTTGTGTGTGCCATTGAGTCAGTTCCTATTCATAACGAACTTTCATTAAGGTTTCTGAGGTGGTGGGTTTGAACCTCCAACCTTGCAGTTAGCATTCCAGTGCTTACCCTACAGTGTAACTACATGTGGATTAATGGGGCTGGGGAATGGGAATGACTGTAGAAATAATGCATTTAGTTGCCTGTACATAGCATCTCCTTCAAGATTTTCATTTCATAGACTTAATGAAAGTATGAAAGTGACAAACATAAAAAGCTTTCAGCAAAATAAGAGCAGAAAAGTATTTCCCTTTTAAAGGACAAAAAAGAAAATCTGTCTGCAAAGATAAAATAGGAGAGTTACTCTACTGTTCACTATTTAATGGGCTTTGTAGATGAATAACTTGAAAGGAATTTTAAAGGTCAGACTAACATGGAGGTATAGAAAACAACCATCTCGCATGGAGGAAACTCTGATTATTCCCTTCCCAGGGAACTCTTACCTCAATGTTGCTGCGATTGGACTCTGGCAAAGAGAGGCGGAATCTGAAAGCAAAAGGCAAAGGTTAAAGGAGGGTAGAGTGAACAATAATGACCTTCATGGAAAGAGACAGAATGTTGGGTTTTTTGGTCAAAACATTTTTTTTTTTTAGATTGATAAATCACTATTAAAAAAGCCCAAATTTATAAAGGATATAGTGTTCTATTATGCCTTCCACTATATTTTGCTGCTTAAGAAGCAGAGCAGGACTAGAAGAAGGTTTTGCAATCAGGATGGGTTCTCTGAGTGCATTTGTTATATAGGACTTACTGTTGACAACTCCGAGTGAATGCCGAACAATGTTAAGAAGCAGTTTTCAGGTCTTCTTGCTTTGAACTGAACCTGTAACTCTTCCTGAACCAGGCTAGTTCCTTATGAATATGAACAACATTGATGACAAGGATGAGGATGATGGTGATGAGGTTAATATGGTGCTGGTGGTGATACTTTGTGACATGCACTCTTCTAGGAACTTTATAAACATATTAAGAAAAATGAGTCTTCGCAATAACCCTTTGCAATAGATGCTCTCTTTGGGCAGATGAGGAAATTGATTTTAGAAAGGGAAAGTAATTGCCCCCAAGATCATAGAGCCATCAATGAATGGATTCAAATGACAGATCCCAGTTTGTTGTTGTTGTTAGTTGACATCCAGTTGGTTCCAACTCATGGCTACTTGATGTTTAGCAGAACAAACCGTTGTCCATGATGGTTGTTGTGTTTGAGCCCCGTGCAATGTGTATTAAGTCCATTCATTTCATAGGGGGATTCTCCTCTCCTTCAGTAGCTCTCTGCCTCACCAAACACAATGCCCTTCTCCAGGGATTGGTCCCTCCTTATGATGTGAATCTCCAACAATGTTCTGTGATCTATAGGATTTCCATGGGCTAATTTTTAGAAGTGAATTTCCAGGCCTTTCTTCCTAGTCTGTCTAAATTTGGAAGGTCTGTTGCAACCTGTCTACCATGGTTGATATTTAAAATACTTGTGGAATAGCTTCACCAGTATCATATCAACATGCAAGCCACTGCAGTACGACAAATGTACAGATGGTGGTGGGATCCTCAGGGACTCTTTGAAGGAAGCAAACGAACAAACATTTGAGGAAATCTAAAGGGAATGTCTTCCCTGGTCACATCACTTCTTGTGATGGGTAACTATATCTAGTTTAGAAATGCAGTCTCTAAAAGGCGCTCTGGTAGCGTAAAGGTGCTCTGGTAGCATAGTGGTTGTGAATCGGGCTGCGAACCTCAATGACAACAGTTCAAAACTACCAGCTGTTTCGTGGGAAAAAGATGAGGCATTCTGCTCCCGTAATGATTTACAGCCTCGGAAACTCTGTACAGGGTCTCTATGAGTCAGAACTGACACCATGGCACATAACAAAAAATAAAGGTGGAACACACCTGTGAGCTTCCTCTTTTTAAAAAAAATCTCAATCCCAAACCAGGACTGCTGCTGTAACCCTAAAACCACCACAGGGGCTACCTGCTGGAGTGAATTTGCCTAGGGTTTCCCATGATCCAGACAACCCCCTTTTCCTTGAGGGTCATCTTTCTTCTGTGTCCTCCTTCGGTCTCGGTCTGTAGGCATACCTTCTCTTCCACTAACAGAGGAGAAACAACTGGAGCAAAAACCAGACTCTCTGGTTCTGAAAATCACACAACTCAACTCAGACCACTAGAGGGCAGCCGATGTTGGGTCTTTGACAGTTCAACCTCAACTAGTTGCCACTTGAGACTACATCAACTCACTAGGACCCCAGATGTGTCCTAGTAGAACTGGACGCCAGTGAGTTTCCAACAGTTTATTGAACAGAAGTAGATTGCCCACCATTCTTTTCAGGTGTCACTGCGTGGGCTCAAGCCTTTGAATTAGCAGCCGGGCTCCTTAACAATGTCTACCATCCAGAGACGTCTTTCACTTCTCAGATCCCTAAGTTGTTACTTAGAGCTCTGCTACTAGGAACTTTCCTTGTTTCTAGTGGTTATTTTTACTATTTAACTATGGAGTCGTTGTGGGCGGCGGTGAGAGTTGGGTGGTGGTGATGGTGGTGCTGTTGGAGAAGATGGGAGCTCTATCTTGCAGACATAAAAACGTAGCATATTTAGCAAGGTTTAGAAAAGGGTTACTATTGTTATTGTTGTTGTTAAGCGCCATCAAATCAGTTCCAACTCAAAGAGACCCTCTCTAGGGTTTCCAAGAAGCAACTACCAACCTTGAGGTTCAAACCAACCTTGCCATACAGTGCATTATCCTGCAGTGCCACACCAGGACTCCTGGTCTGATGGAAAACCAGAGCTAAAAAGTCCTTTACAACATGATGAAGGTCAAATATGACATACTGAAAGCCAAGTGGATCAAAACACAGACACTAAATGGTGCCGCTCCGTGACCACATCAGACATTGCAAATAAATCCCACCATCCAGATTGTTTTTGTCTCTGTCCTCACACTGTGACCTCTGAGAGGGTAGGGATCCAGTTCCAACCACCTTTGTATTCCCAGGATTGGTAACAAGGCATGGCACATTCTAAGCATATTAATGTTTGTTTATTCCATCATTGATTCATCCAGCAAATATTTATTGGACACCTGTGTCAGTTCAGTGACAGGTGAGGAAGGTCAGAATGTGAATAACACCACACACACACACACACACACACACACACACACACACACACACACTACAGTCATGGAGCTTCCAGACTAGCAGGGAGGCAGACATTAATCAAAGAATCCCACCCCCGGAAAGGGAAGTTTAATTACAATCTGAAGTGAATGCTCTGAAGGAAAGAAAGAAGTTCATTGAGGCGAATGACGAAAGATATTGACCTCAATGAGATAGGTGGGGAACAGGAAAGTTTACCAAGATAGAGATTCTTGAGGGAACTTGTGAAGAATGAGTAGCAATTAAAAGGCAAAAAGGAGAAAGAAGAGGGGCAAGGTCTAGTGGAGGGAACATAGACATAAGGGGAGAGGATCTAAGACGATGCTAGAGAGGTAGAAGGGGGTTGACCAGGCAGGGTTTCTCATGCCACGTTAGGATTTTGATCTCTATCCAAAGAGTGAGGAAGGTTTTTAAAGAAGAGAGATGGTGGCTGTGTTTTGTAACGTTCATGCTGGCTGCCGTGGAGAGAACAGTTGGGTAGGCCAGGACATTTTCCAGCTGTCCAATCTATGCTCAGGCAATGCTCAGAAGTTAGTTTATATTTATATTAATTTTGTTGCTGGTGTGAAGTGCTGTCGAGTTGGTTCCAACTCGTTGTGACCCCGTATAGGGTATCCGAGAAACGGTTGGTAGGTTTGAACCTGAAACTTTGCTGTTAACAGTCTAGTACTTATCCTATGAGCGATGGAGAATATCTGTATGTACAGCAAGCAACTGGAACGATACAGTGTGTTTCAGGTGCTACACACCTGTTACGTGCCATGGAGATATGCTTCCGGAATTCTGAAAGATGGGCTGAAGAAGTGTGTGAGTGTGTGTGTTGGTGAGAGCGTGTGCATGTGTGTTTGTGTGTGTGAGAGCGTGTGCATGTGTGTTTGTGTGTGTGTGTGAATGTGTATGATTTCGTGTGAGAAAGTGAGTGTGTATGTATAAGTATGGAAGTGTATGTCTAATGTATGAATGAATGAGTATGTGTGGATGATGTAAAGTATATCTTGGGGGAAAATAAATTGCCCCTTGAAAGATGCACTAGGTACACATTTTGACCATGCCCCTTAACACCCAGTATTATGGAGTCCTAGTGTGGCACTGCGGGTTAATGCGCTGGGCTGCAAGGTAGATTTGAACCACAAGAGTGATGGTTCAAACTCACTATACAGGGTCCCTATGAGTCAGAACAGACTCAACAGCACTTAACAACAACAACATTATAGTTGCCCACGAATCCGAGTGTTTCTCCTACTTGGTTGTGGATCTGGAAGGTAGAAACCGTTCTTTTCTCTACAGTGTGTGGCTCACTAAATTCTCATGCAGTGGAATCATGAATACAGGGACAGATAAAAGAGATGGGTTGTTGGGAGTGTTGGTTGGAATTGGGCTCACTTTGGGTGTGAACCAGGCTCAAGCAGAGTTAAGGTTGGCTGGCGTGAGGACTGAATCTCATGATGGAAGGTTTGGAATAGTGGAGTGAGATGAACCACTCCAGTATTCAAAGGCCCTTTTTGTGAGGAGAAGTCCCCCAATGTTTTAACCTCATTGCTTCATGCAAATTGTCACTGCCCCCAATGAGCAGGATCCACATGGAGTTTCCTGCTCCAATGGTGGTCACCCTCCATGGAGAATTCGTCTGTCCTGGTTTCTACAGTAACTCAGAGGGAGGGCGGAGCTCTGCTGACCCATCCAATGACTCTCAAAGAAACTGTGATTCTATTCTGCCTGGACTGGTTTTCTTAACTGATTTCCCTCCAGGTGGCTTTGGTTGGGAAATGCTTACTTGCCTCTGCAGTGAGGAGTCTGTCTAGGTAGGCAGTGATTCCATCTGCTAGGAGGCAGATGTATTTCTTTTTCTGTGTTGCTTGGGTGGGGTGTAGGGCTTGTGTGTGTGCATCAGGGGCGAGTTACCCAGTAAGCAAGGTAAGCACGGGCTTACTTGTACTTATTAAGTAACCTGTCCCTGACAGGAATTTTAAAATTGAAGAGGCTTTGATTTCATAGGAAGGTGGTGTGGGGTTGGGAGCGAGACAGGTGCCACCAGACACAGAAGCGGAATCTTTGATATTGTGAAGTTGTTCACTACTGATTAGTAAGCAGAAGTAAGTAAGCCTGTGCTTACCTTCCTTATTGGGTAATCCAAGATAGTTGATGTTAGTGGGGTAGAATACAGTTTGGGAACATCCAAAGCCTCAATAATGGCTATGGTGAATAATGTTCCAAAGTCCAAAATGCTTTAGTAATGATGTGCATTTTATTGCCTTGAGCTTAAAACAGAGGGTTAGAATTAAGTCAGCTGGATGAGAACCAAGAAAGGGAAAGCGTTGTTTGATTTGGCCTCTG